GAGACCTCAGAGTTTTTATGTTTATGCCATCTTTCGTTCCCCTGGTCAAAGCCATGACAGGGGTTGCGCCGAAGTGGGCGGCTGCGGTCAGGGCCAGGTCGCCCCGGTGGCCTCTGGCCCCCTCCCCGGGACCCCCTTCGAACTGCCCCCCCCCCCCCCCCTCCTCCGGTAGGGAAACAAAACCATCCCTTCGAACTGCCCCCCTCCCCCTCGAACTGCCCCCCCTCCCCCCATCCTCCGGAAGGGAAACAACAAGCCACATAAACATCAAACCTCGGAGGCCCGCGCGGATTTCTCGGATCGGCGCTGGACCCCCCCTCCCTGGCGCGCGGAGCGCGCCAGGGGCGGCGCCGGAGGCGCCGCTGGGGGGCCCCGGCGCCGATCCGAGAAATCCGCGCGGACCTCTAAGTTTTTATGTTTCTATCACTGTTTGTTCCCCTATCCAGTTCCGCTCCCTCCGCAGTTCGACCCGCGATGCTCCTCGGGGGCCGCGGCAGTGGCCGCAGCCCTGCCGGCGGGAGGCGCAAGCGCCAGCGTTTCGTCGGGCATCGGGAGAGGACCGTGGGCGTCGGAGCTTCGCCCGTGGATAGGGTGCAAAGGTGGGCCCACGCGTGCAGTGATCGTTCGGTCGGGCCTGTCCCCCTTCAAGGGGCATCTTGGGCGAAAAATTAAAAATACCCAAAAAATGCCCCGAAGATGCCCAAAAATACTAAAACAATAGTCCCCAGACTATTTTTTGTCTATTTTTGAATTTTCCCCCTGTAGAGGGACGGGCCCGACTTAAAGTTATCGCACTCCGAGGAGAGGGGAGCAGAGCGGCTGCCATGGGAGTCCTCCCACTGGGCACAAGGAAGCAGGCGGCACTAGCACCACCAGCGCGAGGAAGGGCCCTTCTGGTGGTGTGGTCTCCCCATCCCCACTCGAGGCATCTCCTGTCCCCAGCTATGGGAGGCATTGTGGGCCTCCTCGCTGGAGGTGGCGTCCCTGGTGAGCACTTCCTCTGGAACAACAATCGAAGGGAGCCCCACCTGCATCGTGACACCTAGCCCCATCCCCAGTGGCCCAAGGCTCATTTACGCCACTGGTCGACTGCCCCCAGGCAGAGATATAGGCACCACGGAGCACGACGGAGACGGTATCGATCCTCACTTGCAAAGGAGGAAGACCGGCCAGGGGGAGGGGAAAAGGTTTACCCGATGGGGACGGGAGCTGAAAATGGTACAAACAGTACGGCAAGTTCGTGTCGTGCCGACTTCGGCGTTGGTTTCTGACATCGTGGGGATCGTTCAACCTTGAACCATCGGCCCTCTCCGCAACATCAGATCGTTCAACATCGACCGATTCTGGATCGCCCGCGGCGTTCAACGTTGAACGCTGGCGGCGGGGCCGCCGCCGGTCGACACGACACAAACCTGTCGTTCGAGCAGGGACCGACCGTCCCAGAATTTCTATAGTCCTACCACGAACTGTTCTTAGAACCCAAATAGGTTCTAAGAGCAAAAACACTTTTCTTAGAACATGAGCCCGATGTGTTAACACAAGACAGTCCGGACCAGAAGTGTTCTAAGAACATTTCGTGCCGACCACAAAGGATTCTTAGAACATTCTTTGGTGGGGCTAAAGGCGAGCCAGGACGCTTCGCCACTGCTTGCGTCGTACCCCTTCGGAGGTCCGCGCGGACTCCTTGGGTCGGCGCTGGGCCCCCTCTCCCCTGGCGCGTCGAGCGACGCCAGAGGCGCGGCGCTGGAGGCGCCGCGATGGGGATGGGGCCCGCCGCCAGACTTGAGTCGGGCCTGTCCCCCCACAGGGGGATTTTGGACGAAAAATTCAAAATAGTCAAACAATGCTCCAAAAATACTCAAGAATAGTAAAAAAAATGCCCCCGGACTTTTTTTTAACTAGTTTTGAATATTCCTCCTGTGGAGGGACAGGCTCGACTTCAGGCCAGACCCGCGAACTCCGCGCGGACACCTGAAAGGTTCTACTTCTCAGAATCTCGTTGTTCTTCTGACTCAGGGGCTCCCGGAAGTTTGAACCCTTTCCCTGGGACCGGCGTTTCATTCGCCGCTGATGGCCCTCCAGGCTCGCCGAACGCCCCCCAGCGGAAGCATCCAAGCGCCTCCAGCCGTCATACCTGTTTTCACGACGCGAAGTGACCCAGGTCCAAGGTTCGAACATTGGCGCACAGACCCGTCCTTGGACCGTTCGTGGCCACGAGACAACCCGGAGAAACCCAGAACCTCCACGAACCACCCAAACGGCCCAAATAAGAGCGCCCCATGGGAGCCGCTCCCGCGGAGAGCCTTCCCCTGACCTCCCCCGATCTGATTTTCCGAACTCGCGGAATATGCCGCGACCGCTCTCGTCCCGGGGCCATGCCTGGTATCCCCGGGGCCCGTGAACGGCTCCCGAAGGCCGACGTCGAGAGAAAGCGCCCGCACCGAAAAATCACATCGTGGGTGATCTCCGGGGGGGAGGCTCCCCCCCCCTGGCTCAGGGA